GTGTGTGTGTGTGTGTGTGTGTGTGTGTGTGTGTGTGTATGACTATGTATGGGCATTATTGTCGGTGTCTGAAAAGGCCAGAATAGGGCATCAAATGCTATGGACCTGGAGTTATAGGTGGTTGTGAGCCACCCAATAGAGGTGCTGGGAACCAAACTCCATTCCTCCAGAAGAGCAATAAGCTCTCTTAACCACTGAGCCATCTTCTCAGTCCTGGATTTCACCCACTTTATGCTTGAACAATATCCCATTATTTACACATATCACATTTTCTTTCTCCATTCATCTCTTAATGGACACCTACATTGATTCCATATCTTGGCTATTGTGAATAGAGCCACAATAAACATGGGAATGTAGATATCGCTTTTTTTTTTTTTTTTTTTTTTTTTTTTTTTTTTTTTTTTTTTTTTAGATATCGCTTTTATACAATGGTCTGATTTCATTTCAAATAAACCCAGAAGTGCAACAGATAGATTCTATGGTAGATCTGCTTTTGGTCTTTTGAGGAAATATACTGTTCTCCATAGCAATTTAATTATTATATTAATTTACATTCCCACCAACAGTGCACCAGAATTACCTTCTCTCAACATCCTGAGTAACATTTGTGATTTTGTCTTTTGTCATCCAGATAAAGATTATGTTTCTTATCTAGATACATTTCCTACTAACCACATATTGACTCAGGTATGTATTAATCAATTCCATAGGAATGTATTTGTATTTCTTTTCTTCCTGTACCCATGCATCCCACTATAAGTGGCCATTTAACTAGGAACTCTATACTATATGTTGATAAAGGAGCACATCTCAGTGCTTTTATGATTTCTTCATGCAACAACCCTGAGAATCTCACATGCACTTCTTCTGGTTTCTGTGCATTAACTCTTACATTTCACAACAATTCCATATATCTCCCTTCAGTCATCTGGTCATCCTCACAACACCCACTTGGGCTTGAAACTCATTTGTTATGTTCTTAAACACCTCTATATAAACATTTACTTTGATCATTTGTTCTTTCCCCTATGCATTGAAAGACATTTGTTGAGCAGTTCTTCACACACACACACACACACACACACACACACACACACACACAAATACTATAAGGGTAAAAACACAAAGAAATTAGAAATGGCACGGAAGATAGTCTGTCATTTGACTGTCATATGTAAAAATAAGGGCCCTACAAAGGTAGACTTCACTGATGCTCATAAAGTTAAATAGCTCAGGATCAGTTTTCTCTTAGTATATTCCAGCTCTAGTTGCTGTCCCCATAATATGTGATTCAGAGGGTATCAAATTTGAGTGCGGTCTTAATCTGCTTTTGTTGGAGAAGTTTATGTCCTTATTTGCCCGAGTATAAGACAGATAGATAAATGGCAAGCAGTTCCATGAAAAAGCAAGGAAGAAATTAGACATGGGAACCACTGCAGAGGGAGCATGCCTTTTCTATATGTATGCAAGGCTAAGGGGAAGATTAAAATTACAAATTATAATACATGTGAAATAGGGAAGAAATTTAAGGGGAAGATGTATAAAAGACATAAAATTTTCACTTATAGCAGGCAAGTTTCTTTCTAAATCTTTCTTTGGAAAATATTTTTTATTCATATATATGTGTATACACACAGTTTGTAAAGGTGGGTGCAGATTCCAGAAAAGGTCATTGGATCTCCTGGAGCTGAAGCTACAAGTGGTCATGAGCTGCCCAGTGTGAGTGCTGGAAACCTAACTCTGGTCTTTTGGAAAAACAGCAAGCATTCTTAACCACTGTGGCATCACTCCAGCCCCTCAAATTTTTAAATAGACAAAAAAAATCAAAGGAGAATCAAGAACAAGATTTCACAGGAGGAATGATTGTGCTGCAAGTTTCAAAGGAAAGCAGTAAATTGCTGAATGATAACAAGAGTTTAGTGGGAAAATGAAATAATGTGCTGTTTCAGAAACTGAATTTTCTGAACTGAGTATCATAACTAGTACCAACTGATAGCTAATGGTTGAGGGCTTTGAATCTTCTAAACACCTGATAAATATGATTTATATAAATGTCACTAAAGAAAGAGTAATGTTTATAAATAAATTATGCAAGTAAGGTATGAATGGGAAAGCCACATGCCTCTAAAGATCATGTTTAACGAGAAAATATTAATATTAATAATAATAACCAACTATACCTTCTCTGTGTCAATGCCTTTTGACATGGACCACGTTGAAACAATATAATCCATGACTCGTTCACTAAGGCCTTTGGGGACCTGATAGAGTTTCAAGAAGTCTCGAACATTATTCAGCATCTCATGGTATCGGTTTGTGTTGGCATACATTTGCTGGAATATTGTAGTAACATTTCCAAAAATAGTTGCATAAAGAAGAGCTGAAAGAGAATAAATGATGAAAATAAGACAAACATCCCATGAAAAAAATTGACTAAATCAGTAAGTAACTTAGCAGAAATGTCTTGACAAATTCTTAGGGGTTAATTCATATTAAGCCTGACTAGACTACCTGCCACCTGGCGCACTCTCTAGAAATTATATGTCTGAATAGTAGTCATAAATCTATGATCATCACCACTCTAATAAACATGGCACTCCATGATGTTATAGTCTGTTATCAGTCTAGATTTCTTAGCTAGGTTAAAAAAAAACAACAACAACAAAAAACCACCTCAAATAGAGCAGACAGCAAACATGCTATATTGAAAGATAAATTACATCCATCGACCCCTAGCCCATCTCTCCTCCTAGCATGGACACAGGCCCATTTCTTCTCTTGGCACCCCAGACTTCTGAACTACCATCTTGGCCCAGAATCCCCACTGTTTCCTGATCCTTTGCACCCAGACCAAACCAATTCCTCAGTCTAGTCCCCTGGAGCCCTCAAAGCCTGTTCCCTCCCCCACCTCACATTTGCATACCTAAGAACACCCTTCATCCCTGGCCAGCACAACCCCCAACTTCCTGAGGCCAGCATCTTTCCTGGGTAAGTTCAACCATGCCAACTGTGCCTTGACTCCCACAACCTCATTCACCCTCCCAGCTCTCCCACCCCACCTTTCCTCGTACTGTGGGCATTGCCCAATTTCTTCTCTTGGAACCCCAGACCTCTGGACTACCCTCTTGGCCCAGAATCCCCACTGGTTCCTGACCCTTTGCACCCAGACCAACCCAATTCTTGCATCTAGTCCCCTAGAGCCCTCAAATCCTGTTCCCTTCCCCACCTCACCTTTGCATATCTGAGAACAGCCTTCATCCCCCAACCTGGAATCCTGAGACCATCCTCCTTCCCTGCTTGCTCTGAATTCCTGAGATTCAGTCAGGAAACTTTCCTTCCCTGACTGCTGAGAGTCCTGAATCCTACCTCTAACTAGCAATCCTCCCAAATTGTACTGTGCCTGCTGACTAGATGGATCCAGATCTTAGGAGAAAGGCTGAGAGCATTGATCCTCATCTGACTTGGGCCTCTGTGAGAACTCCTGATCAGCAGGGCAAAAGCTATCTGGCCCCTCCAACATAAAATCAAAAGAGAGCCTAGACCAACTAGCTTTTCATGCCCAACAAGTAAACCACAAAGATACATAAAGTTTACAAAAAGAAGTAGACCCAAACTCAACAAAGAAAGGCATGAGTCTCACACAAGAATCAGAAACTACAAAAGAAACCCACATTTCAAAGTCACAGCAAAAAATGGTGCTCAGATGCCTAGAAGCTCAGAAAGTAACCAACTGTGACTAGTAATAATCAAATATATAGATATTAGAAATGCATGCGCATCTTAGTGTCAATTGTATTAAAATGAATTTTTCTGTATGAAACTGTATTTTAATAATGAAATGGAGATCTTTTTTA